GCTAGTTCTGGGTTTATGGACGTAAAGAGTGCTGTGACATCAAATGAGACCATACTTTCATCTTCATCTACAGTATGTGTATATCTTTGATTTTTCTGGAGGCACTGCAGTGAGGAGTTAATAGAATATTCACTGTTCTCTGTGAGGTGTCCAAGCTTTTTCATCAGTTCTTTCGCTATGTTGTATGTTGGAGTCCCTGGTAAAGATAAAATTGATTGGAGCAGTATGTCAGGCTTATATATTTTTGGTCAGCCATAGAAGCGTGGGAGGATGGGCCCACTGCTTTTCATCTGCTACTGTTCTTCCTTTGTGATCTGGCCTTTCTTAGTTAGGTCGTTGAGGGTTCTGTTGATTAGGTTGCCTAGTTTCTGTATTGGGTTGGTGTTAACCAGGATGTAAGTTTCTTTGTCCTCTAATAACTTTTTGGCTTTTTTTTCTACATTAATTTGGCTGTTTTCTACATGAATTTTTTCTACATGAATGCCTAAGACAGCATACCCTACCCACCAGCATCAGATACAAACCCCCAATAAAGAGCACAGCTGGATGGAAGATAGCACAACAAAAAGGACGCAAAATGGTAAGACTACTGATCATGGATGTGCAGCACAGATTGAACCAAGTACCAGCAAACAATAGACAACCTCAAGGAACAACTAGAACCTTGTGTTCTAGTGACCATGACCCCAGAGCATACTAAGATACTGACTACCAGAACACATCCAGAAGACAAGCAGAGAAAAGAAAAACTAAATTTCAAACTAAAATACTCAAATTAAACCCTGTAAACAAAGAGATACCCAAACCCGAATGGGTAATCAACATGTCTAGCCGGTCACTATCCACTGCAGAACACAATATACTCCAGAAAGGCCTCAACTACAACATGGACAATGTCAATCAACTAGACTTCTGCACAGCCCTAGAAGCAGCATTCAAAATGACAGGACTCAACCCAGAGACCCAAGAAAACCTAAGGCAGACAATCATACCACAGATCAGAAGAACACGATATCAACACCAACTCAAAGCAGAGGACAGAACAGCTCTCAATAGCC